ACGGAAAAAAAGGTCCCTGGAAAAAAAGGTCCCGGAAAAAAAGGTCCCGGTAAAAAAGGTACCTCCATAGGGAAAATCTGTAGGGATATTTCCCCTCTCGCTTTCTGGGCAACATGAATGCTTCTCGCTGTTTCAATGAATATTCTTTTTATCTGTAATAATTCAGATTAGATCATTGAGGTAAGGAGAAGGGTAAGGGGGGGGGACTTATGGGCTGGTTGTATTACGCTTTTTTTTTAAAATTTTATTTCATTTATTTATTCTTCTTTGATTATTTTTTAAAGCGGGAAGATACTATTTAAATTTTTCAATAATGTTTTACTTTTTTTTTGTTAATTTTTTTAAGTGAAAAATGTGTTATTTTCTATTTTAAATTATATTTTGTGAAGAAGTTGCTAATGTGAGGCTTAAAGTAGCCAATCGGGGAAGTTTGGAGAATTTATGTGTTGGATGTTTATTCGTGATTGGAGGTGAAAGTATTGGTCCTTTTTAATTAGTTGAAAACGCGCGACACGAAAAAAAAAAATCATGCACGGAACAGCAAAAAGCGCTTCAATCTAATCTTCTCATTTCAAATATTTTCCCCTACAGAATTTTCCCTACACAGGTACCTTTTTTACCGGGGACCTTTTTTCCGTACCTTTTTTTCTGGGACCTTTTTTTCCAGGTACCTTTTTTTCCGGGACCTTTTTTTCCGTACCTTTTTTTCCGGTACCTTTTTTTCCTAGAACCATTATTTCAGGACCGACAATTTTAAAATAGGTAATCATTTCAGGGCCGACAACTTTCGGAAAAATAAAGTAATGGCAGTAAAAAAGAAATTCTAATCATTACTTTATTGCGAAATTGGTAATGACTGACCATAACGCAGGATCTGACTGGCTGTAGACATACTGAGGCCACAGCTACACTCCTTGAAGATGGATCCTGGGACCATTTAAATTAAAAAACGTATTGAAAAATTTCATATAGTCTTAAAGTATATTTTACTGTAGCTTATTTCGGTCTTATTATTATATTTTAATCGAATATTATTATAGAACTTTATATAATGAATCAGACTGCAGAAATGGAAACACATCACGATTTCAGTTGAAATAGAGAACAATTTCTCTTGCTAGTGCAAATGCACTGTTTGTATTAACAGCTTGGGCCTGTTCCTGCTCAGATGTTTAAGACTAAGTGGGTCACTTAAAAATTGCCGAAGAAATATTTCAACGCAGAGTCGTGGCACTTGAATCTTGTATTTTCGAATTATAGAAAAAACTTGCACACTTGTTATGTGTTTTATAGATTACAGCTGACTGTTATGGACTAGTAAAAGTAACTCTATAACTTGTTATAGGTTTAATTTTTTAGAATATCTCACTAACTGGGTCAATTGAAACAAAAATTAAACAAATGAAACATAAATTTTTTAACTTGTTAAGGAAAGCAAAAAGTTTTTAATAAATTTTGTAAATCAAGCCACATAAAGTAAACAATAAAATTTTTTTTTTTTTACATTTTCGCAATTTCAAAAATATTTAATTTTTTAAGAGCTCCTTATTCAAGTGCTGCTCTGGGCACTGTGTCACGAAAAACCTCTCGCAAAGAGTTTTATCCAGAAATGGGAGAGAAAAAAAAAACTGGCTGTAAAACCAATTTATTTCAAGCTTGTTTTCGGGGAAAGTAAAATGTCCGTGACAGCCGATAATCGATAAATATTGTAAATGTAATTAATCGATAAATGTTAAAAATATAATTAACCAATAATCGAAAAAAGTCATGTTATGCAAGTCATGTTATGCAAGAATTTTTTTAAAAAGCAATTTTACTTTTTTTCTGAAATTGATTTTGTAAAAACGTGGTTTTCTCAACATAATAATCGAAAGTTACGGAGAAAGGGTGTTAATAGAGAGCTTTTGCGTTACGTAACGGTTTTCAGCTAATTAAGCTTTACAGCGCATGCGCGAAAATTAACGCAAAAAAATAACGCGTGCCTTTAAATACAGCTTTTGCCTTACTCTAGGCAAAACCTTTACGTTAACGCTATTTTTCAAAAGCCGCACATTTTAATGTGTTGATTGCGCTTTGTGCCGTTGGTTTGCGTTTCCAAAAGCTTTTATTGCGTTTTTTTTTTTTCATTTTTCTTTGTTTTCATTATTTTTTACTTTCATTATACTTTTTAAAATTTGAATAATTTGTAGTAATTGGCGATGTATGATGGTACAAAAAAGGGGTAAATAGAAGAAGTGCTTATGATAAAATTGCCTCAGTTTCGTCAAGAAATATACTTTATAAAGACGCGAAATAGGCCAGCGTGGATTTTCTTAAATATAAAAGAAATTTTTTTAAGACAATACAATTTTACTTTAAATACAGTCCGTTTTTTCTTATTTTGATATTTTACTATTTTCCTGATTTGTGAAAATTATTAGAATGAAAAGTAAGCAATGTATGGTTGCATGAAAAATTGCTTATTAATGTGTAGTGTGCTAAAAACATTTTGCTTTATTTATCAGCTAGTTTTATAATAATTTTTCATAACCCATCTTCTCTGTTAGCAAATGTATTTTATTAACTCAATTAATTTACAACAAGCTTCTGAAATTAACAAAAAATAATTGAGAATTTATTCTTTAAAAATCGTTATTGATACTAAAAAATATACATTTGGAGTTAGGACAAAATAACATGAAATAATCAGGAGTCATATGATGTTTTAAGGAAAAGATGTACTGGCTGGAAGTTCATAAATATAGTAAATACAACGAATGTAATTCCAAAATGTATTAGGTCTCCGTTTAACAATTTTTTCTGCTTAACCAAAGGCAGCACAACAAACTGCATATTTCAAGATTTTTGTGTTTAAATTCCCGCATCGCTTTTCTTCCTATAAATGACAAGGCGAAACGGAAAGTAGAAAATTTTTCTCTTGATGCGGCCTCCAAACACATTGTTTCTTTGTCAGGACAAAAATTATAGTGATGTACGCGCCCTATTTACATTTCTCCTCTATGATGTGAAACGAAATTAAAAGTCATCACAACCATTAGCCTGTTGAAACTTAAAAGTGTTTGTAATTATCACCTCTTCATTATTTTCCACAATTAAATAGGTTTTGATATTTTTAATCACGTATTTTTCGCAAAGAATCGTCTTAATTTGAAAACATAATATTTTTTCATAAATGTTAACATGCGATCATGAACATGCATATTCTTGTTGCTTCATTTCTTTGAAAAATTCTTAAAATACACATTAACTGTGGTCACAAGAATGCCAACTGCCATCTTTTGCTCTTTCCAAAAAGGATTCTCCGAAGTGGTAATAAAATATAAATCAAAAAATCAATTACAGATAATTGCATTTTTATATCAATTGCTATAGCTTTAACACACCAACGTATGAATTTCAACCATTCTCATACATGTTTAATCAATTCATCTGTAATAATTGTTAAAATCTATATTATATAAAACGCTAATACGCATGTATCAATAAAATCGATGATATTTCTTTTCTCGCGTTGGCAACAGTTTTCATTTTTAATTTATGGGCTTCGGCGCGCAAAAGCACGTACTGAGCATCATATGGCTAATCTATATTATATTAAACGCTAATACGCATGTATCAATAAAATCGATGATATTTCTTTTCTCGCGTTGGCAACAGTTTTCATTTTTAATTTATGGGCTTCGGCGCGCAAAAGCACGTACTGAGCATCATATGGCTAATCTATATTATATCAAACGCTAATATGTTTTAATTGATAGGCTTCGGCGCGCAAGAGCACGTAGTGAGCATCATATGTCTAATCGGGTGAATTCTCACCGAATTATCAAAAAAATTCTCACAAAATAATCTTCATCGAAGCCGATGCTTTACACCCGGCTTTCAGTACTATTTCATATTGTTTTACAACACATGGTTAATACGTTTTAATTGATAGGCTTCGGTACGCAAGAGCACGTAGTGAGCATCATATGTCTAATCGGGTGAATTCTCACCGAATTATCAAAAAAAATTCTCACAAAATAATCTTCATCGAAGCCGATGCTTTACATCCGGCTTTCAGTACTATTTCATATTGTTTTACAACACATGGTTTTAGCCCTCTGGTGGGAAAGACTTTGAAACAAAACTTACAACAGTTACTTTTCGCAACAACTGAAATTTAGAATAGTGTGATTAAGAAAAATATGTGAACTGTTTGCAATTTCAAATTAATATTGAAATGCACAGGTTTAGAATTTTCTACAGTGAAAAGTTTTCGGAACTTCAGTGTTCAAAAAAGTATACAAAAGCTAGACGTTAAGAACGTATCCAAGGAGCGAGCAAAGCGAGCATCGGCCGAAATGAACTGTGAAAGCAGTTCTGGGGGTTGGCGAGCGCGAGCGAGCAGGGGGCGAAGCCTCCTAGTTAAATTTAATTTAAATAAATTTTTAATTAAACTTTTAAATCTAAGTATAAAATAAGAAAGAAAAAGCTTTACTTTTACTACTCCACTTTCTGCGAGAGATTTTATACACTGGTAAAGAATTTAAGACTAGAGATTGCTGAAGTTTGATTAATTTTTCGAACACTATAGAAGCCTTAACTCTAAATAATTGTACCTAAATGGCCTTTCATGTGGCATGTTTGAATTAAGTGGAGGGCGAAATCGGTTTAAATAAAATTTATCAACCCGATATTCATACATAAAAAAAAACAAAAATTTAGTTGAAAAAAAAGAAACACTGTATGTTCATTCACTTTGAATGGAGACCTAAAACAAAACTTTTGATTTCCTTTGTTTGTTGCTTCTGGCAAATATTATCCGACGAAGTGGCAAGTGTCGAAAGGCAGATATACTACATTAAATACGCTTACATTAAAGCAAGGAATACCTAAATAATCGTTTCATCAAACAGAAGCAATAATTTTTACTGCTAGGTCACCTTTATCCTTTATGCCCCATCAACAAACTAGTATAAGACGGTTGATCCAATTAACGGTGATTTCTTTTTTCTTTGCAGATAGCTGTTCTTGGATATGCTTTGTTGTATGCTGGAGCGTGTCTATGTTACTTAGGAGCTCTGGAGTGTGGATTTGTTTTTGATGATATATCAGCCATCCGAGAAAACAGAGATCTAAGACCAACAAGTCCATGGTCAAATCTTTTGCAAAATGATTTTTGGGGAACACCCATGCAAAAAGTATGTTTTTAACACCGAAGACTATATAGGATATGTAGATATGATACTAATTGTAGCTGTAAATTAATCTTAAAACTTATTTTCGTTGTTTAAAAATATTAGTCTATGATATCTTTCCTCCGACCTAACCTTTTCACTACTGAAGTAAAACAGAATGTAGTAAAAAATATTTTACAGTTATAAAAGTATGTAAGTCATAATAAGATAAACAAAAGATGATTTATACCGTCAGGGGGAAATAATTTTGTGGACATCGGGTTTTAACTAAGTAAAAGAATATATATATTTGAAATGCCAAATTGCACCAAAAATTGGAACAAAAATGCATATGGTCGCATTAATGCATATATTATGGTCTATTTAAATGCAATAATAAATTAATATAATAATTATTTCGATAAAAATTACTAAGAAAAAATGTTTTATCTAAGTGCAATGCAATACAGGATTAAATTTCAGTTTCAAAACCTCTTTAATTATGCAAATCACGTTAATTTAATAATTGCTGAAAAGAATCTAATATTAATATTAAAAAATATTTATTTCCTGGGGGTAAAATTTCAAAGTTAAGGAAAAAAAAACACAAAACTTTAAATGTTTTAAATATATGCATGTACTTTAATAAAAAACAATAAATTAAAATAAGCAAAAAATATTACTAAATAGCTGTAAAATTAAATACTCATCATAATACTATGAGAATTTACTTGATGAGTTTACTTATGAGTTGAACTTAGCGTCATTTTTCAAAAATTACTTTTGTTTATGGGGAATTCTGCACATACAGCTTACATTTTCTGTATACATTGGAATCCACAGAAAGCTCAAACATCCACGAATGTTTCAGTGAGAATAAAATTATAAAGTATCTTATAACGTGTGTTTAGAAGGCAAGAAGCGATAGTCCACCTATATGTGGACCGAGGTAATAAAGATATTACAAATTTTCTCATTCAATGAAAAATATACCATATGCCTTATTGTAAGCATAACTAATATTCAAAGTACGATTCTCTATGTTTGACTTAATAATAATCTTCTATTTCGATGCATAAATAATTTAACATTATTTATAAAACGCCGCTGTTTCCCATTTTTTTTTTCACTGAAAGTAAAATAGTTTGCTGTCCTAGTGTGGAAGCTAACTCGTAAATTCAATGTTAAGAGAAAAACCGAACTATTTACTTTGCATATGAATAAGGATTTTAGGTAACAAGAATGTCAACTTGCTCAATTCTGTTGAGAAATTTTTCCCGAAATCTCAAAAATTAGTAATTTGCTTAGTAAATTTGAATTTCTTAGCAGCATTTATATTTTAAAGCGGAAATCTGATTTTTAAAGTTAAATCTTAAATTATTTTACCGAATATTGTAAAATAATTATTCTAACATCCGTATACAAAATACATTAATTATGCTTAAGTTTTAGAAAATTCTTAATGCCGAAAGTAATGTCATGGTACCACGTTGAAAAATCTTCATGCGCATGCATATATTTGTCTTTACTTAATCAACTAGATTTGACTTAAACTTTACGAAATTTATTTATTACTTTTCTACTACTTTATAAATTATGAGAGAAGCAAGACGTTTCTGTAAATGGCTATATATATATAATTTTTTTTATATTTAGGAACAAAGTCATAAATCTTACAGGCCAGTGTGTGTACTCACCTACCGTCTAAATTACTTAATTCATGGACTTCAGCCACTTGGATATCATTTAGTTAATATTGCTTTACATGCCCTGGTTTGTTTATTATACAAAAGGTAGGTATATACTTCTTTCAGTTGTGGTTCAGGAATTGTTATTCAATCATTATTATCGAAATTACAAAATCAAAATTGCAATTAAGTGTCAAAATTACTTTGAAATTACGTATACTGTGAAAACAGTCTAAGATAAGTTCGATTAGAGGATGAAGCACTGAGCGATTATTGTTTCATCGGCTAATTTTCAGTGGATAAGGTCGTTACTAGCTGCAATTTAATAGATCTCGGTGGATAATTGCTTCATCCACCGTGATCTGCAAAATTTAAAGACTTGGCAAACTGAATAAATGTTGTATAATTGAATAAAAGAATAAAAGAAACACCGGATTTTTTTAAAAGGCATTTAGAGCCTCTTTCCATTAAGCTGACCATAAATAAAGGTTAGTTTGGAATATTTTATATCTAGATTTCTATACTGTAGCAAAACTTATTAACTATTTTATAGTATACTATGAAATATGTATTTCACTTATTTTCAGTTTGGCCTCAAGAACACATTATATGATGCATAAAGGGAGAATAATATACATTTTATTCAATATATATATATAAGGAGCGAGCANTTCACTTATTTTATTGGTACTATATATATATATATATATTTTAGGGTTGAATTAAAAATATTAGTTAAATCGAGATGCAGCGTCATTCAGCATAAGCAGTAGCGTCGGTTTTCGTTGATGCTTTTTTTTTTTTTTAAATTTAAAATTTGTATCTCCTACAGAGTAATTTATGAATCAACATTGAATTTAAAATATAGCTGCGAATTATTATGTAACTTAATAAGTATAATTAAAACAAGAATATAGTTCAGTTTGTTTACTTATAAGAACAGATTGCTTTTAACTTCTCATTTCTACTCAGTTTATAGCTCTGTTTCTATTAGCTCCGCGTTGCCAACATGATAAAAGAAATTTCATTCATTGTCTTACATCATACGTACTTTGTTATAGTTTTATATAAAATAGAATGAAAGACGATAAATTTTCTTAGCTATTTTTTATAATAAAATTTGTTTTATGCGCAAACTGGTTCACTTTTTAAGTAATCTAAGCAAACTAACTTTCAAAAACAGCATGGGGACTTCTGTTGTTGGAGGCGGGGATAAATACATTATTTTGTTTTCATTTTGTTTTGTTCTTTTTCTAGAACCTGTGAACTTTTTGTGTCAGATGAAACTGCGTTTCTTGCTGCATTCCTTTTTGCTGTTCATCCATTGCACACTGAAGCGGTGAGCTTAAATTTAAATAATTCAGATAGTAGTTTATTTGAAATACTTTATTAAGAAAGAAAAAAAAAGTTGAGAAGTTAATTAGGAGTTCGAAAGAAAACGGAGTGTTTATTAACTGGAACCCCAAATGACGAAAAACTAAAGAATGAATAAGTGTTCATTTACTGGGATTTTTCCACGTTAATGAAAAGAAAAATTGCAATTTTCCTGTACCTTTAGTCATATTATGCATCAAAATTCAGATAGAAATACAAGAAAAAAAAAAGAAGAAAAAAACTAACGAGTGACGGAACAGGCATGTTCCTTCACTGGAAATAGATTTTCCGGCGAATGCGGTCTTTAACACTTTGAGTGCCATAGGGGTCACCGGTGACCGGCACTGAGTTTTTTCGTAGTGCCATGGGGGTCACCGACGAACCAAGATTATTAGAAACACATTATTCGAGTAAAATTTTTAATTTTTTACATTATTATCGTTATTAAGATGGTTTGAAGAAATTAATGCAATCGAACACACAAAAGTAGTTTTATTTATATACACAGAGATGCCTACTTGCTCCGGAAAGCTAATAAATATTTTCAAGTGGTAGTTTATTAATTGTGATTCTTGGTTTAATAAATTCAATTTAGTAGATTTTTATCCACCACTGTTACTAAACAATTCGTAGGCTTATATAATTCATCACTTTAACCGCGCCATGTAAAATTAGCGTGGCATTCAACGTGTTAACGTAACTGTGAAACGAAGAGGAAAAATCCATTCAAAGACAGTCATCTTGGTGAAAAATGAGTAAAGCTTTTAACTTCCACTGATAACTCATATTCACTAATAACTTAGCGCAATGCAGAGATAATTTCTAAAGGCAAGGCATCCTCTACCGAGGTTAACATTCGAGAGTGGTTTAAAGAATTTAGAGGAACCTTGAAGACGAAAATAGCTCTGACATTCTTTTAGAAAGTGATCACATCAGCAATGCGGGCGAAGCAGGAGTTGAATGCTGTCCTAAAATTGAAAAAATCTTAGGCCTTAAAAAAGTATAAGGATTCATATTCTATTGTTCCTGGGAAGGAAAAAGAAAAAACAACAGTTTTGGCCAACTTTTTAGCCAGTGGAAAAAAAGTACCTCCAATGGTAGTTTTTGCTTACAGAAGAATTCCTCGAGATATTGCGGAATCAGTTCTTGCTGAATATTTCATTGGAATAAATGATTCAGAATGAATGATCGCACGAACCTTTTACGAATATATTGTAAACTGCTTCTATCCATGGCTAATTGAAAATGCTATCAAATTTTATATTTTGCTTCTGCTAGGGCATAAATCTTATATAAATTTAAAACTGAGTAAGTTTTGTTCATCAAAACAAATTCTCTTGTTTAGATTTCTTCCTAATGCTACGAATGTACTTATGCCTTGTGATATAGGTGTATTTCGAGCTTTGAAGGCTATATGGAAATTTTCTTGGAAACGAAAGGTTTTAAGACAATATGTTGAGGGATTTTTACACCCATTTTTAGATAAGCTTTTGATACATCAATTAATGAAATTAAAATTTAAAATGCTTTTAAGAAATTGGTATTTGATGGTGAAAACGTTGACTTTGACAAATGCATGCAGAACAGGTAGAAGGAGTTAACGAGTAAGAAAACTCATTAACAAAAACATACTTCAAGAGTAACGATGCACAATTTTTTCAGAGGCTTGAGAATGAAATCCCTCCAGATATGTTTGAAATTTTTAACGTAACATTAACTGATGAGTCTGATCTTCCAAGCTACCAATAGCCTGTACTTTTTTCAATATGGAAGAAGTATGTATTTCAAAAAGAATACTTTGTTAAGACAAACTTTGGCACTGAAGTTGAAACAACTAACATTGATGAATATATCTTGAAAATTGATTTTGAGAAGGTGCTTTTGAGGTATTGTTAGTTGAAAAAGCAAATGATTCTTTAAGTAATCAAGGTCAGAAAATGTTAAGTACTACTGAAGACCCACTAGATATAAGTCAACGAGAGATGAATTTTCGTCAAACGACAGAAATGGTACAGGAAAATTTTGGCCAAATATTGGGAAAAAAGAGAAAGGTCAAATCAAAATAAAAAGAAATAAATTACTTTCTGCATTAACTTCAGAAAAATGGCAAAGTTTTAAAGAGACTGAAAGAGCTGAAAAAAATTAAAGCAAGAAAGTATATTGAATAGGAAGAAAGAAAAAATTCTTAAAAAGAAAAAAAAAACTTCATGAAATAAGGGGGAAAAGAGTAAACAAAAAAGTAATAAAATAATAATAATAAAAAAAATCATCGGTTAACATAATAGAAAATATTCATGATTCAGAATCGGCTATCAAATTGTGAGAAAGAAAAAAGAAAAACATTGCTTTATTTTATTCAGTGTTCAATCCCACTTTACTTTCCATTTAATGACTGAAAAAAAATGTAAAATTTTTACTTTAATTGTGGTTATATGTTATAATTCTAAAAAAGTCTTCTTTTTAGATATTGGTGTAGCTTATGAATTCATAAAGAGTATTTTTTAGTAATGAATTCATAAAGAGCATAACATTTAAAAAGTCACAAATTAAGTGTTCATTAACTGGAAAAATTAGTGTTCATTCATTGGTAAAAACTGTTTCTTCACTAGAACATCTTACTACTTATTATTTATTTAATGGTTTTCATTCTTTTATTTACAAACATATTTAATGGTTTTCATTCTTTTCGTTTTGTTAATTCTTTCAGGTGACGGGAGTTGTTGGCCGAGCAGAAATTTTGTCTTCTTTATTTTATTTATTGTCCTTTTTAAGCTACACCACAGCTGCTACGAAACGGTTCACGACAGGTAAATAATCTAATCAGATTCTTACTGCTTCTTAAATTCCAAAATGTTGCCCATCAATAAATTATACAATTCTCTGATTTCAATAATGACATTAATAGTCACAAAATGACATACACATACAATCAAATATTTGAGATTCTTGCAAAATATTTTTTTCCTGTGACATTTTTAAAACAATCAGAATTCTCATAAAATCTCACCAGAATGTCCTTAACCTACGTAGCTTTTTATTGTTTACATTTATAGGTGAACAGAATTCTTTCAATTCATTAAAACATAAATTCATTACTTTTGTAACCACTAGGAAAAATATTATCCGGAATTAAGGAAATTCCGTTACAGTTGGAGTGAATACATGCTTACAGCGGTTGGATAGAGATGTTAAAACACTTTGTAAACAATCTTTTTTCAGAAGCTAATGTTTCGAAAGATTTTCATAGCGAAACAGTTGGCAAAATTTTAAAGATTACACTTGAAGCTTCTAGAAATGATGTCCTGATGCGAAATTTACTTCAACCAAAGTGAAAAAGAAAATTTCTTTTCTTTTCATCACCACTACTATTAAAAAAAACATTCTAATATGAATATTGCAATAACCATGAACATTAACGTTAAGTACAGTTGTAAATAATATTCAGTGCTCATTTCATATTATTACTGGATTCTTTTCCCATGTATTATACTTGACAAGCAATACTAGTTTAGTGCGCTCAAGATCATAATTCTTAAATTAGGAGCTTGCTCCAACCCATTTACTCTTAATATATGTCTTACTACTATTTTATGTTTCTTAGCATATGTACAACAGATCAAAATGAATCAGTTGGTGGCAATTCGGGCCAAATACTGAGATTTAACGAATATCAAGCATGAACATTAACGCTAATCTTTCGATTTTCTTCGTTCGTTGCCTCTGGCAAATATTATCCGATGAAGTGGCAAGTGCCGCATTAAATACGCTTACATTAATGCATTACATAAACAGTTTTACTTCTTAGATTATGATATATAACACGTATAAACTCGCCCCGTTAGTTAATTTGTAAATACTAATTTTTCGATCATGTAAATATTTATTTTATTCGGACTTCTCGTATTCGTACCTGCATTATTATCATTTATTATTCGGATTCCTTTTTTTATATACATACCTTTCATTTTATTGTACTGTTCACTTGTAACTCTCAATCGCATACTTTCGTTTCCTTTGACAAATATTTTTAGATGAAGAGTCAGGTGACGCAAGACAGGTACCTCACTCTATATACTCACATTAAAGTATCATTGAAATGTTTTAAAATAGTTGTTATTAAAGCTAAATAAAAAAAGTTAATTATTTTTCCTCATTTGGTCGAGCAAAATTATGTACGTGCAAAATTGGCATAATAATTACTAAAAGTTCAAATTCTGATCTTTCAGAATGTTTCAACATTTTTGCCATGTTAAATCTTCCAAAACATTTGCTGCGAAAGGAAATAAATGTTTGCATACTGAAGTGTTTTGATATTTTTGTTTAACCTTTGTTTATCATGTGTAAATAAGGTGTACGGAAGGGATTTGTTAATTTTGATTCTGCTGAATTCGTTTTTTCGTTAACAAAGTGTTAAATATTTTCTTTTTTTTAATTTTATTTTTTTATTCAAGTGTCAACTAAGTTAGTGTCAGTGTCTAGTGACGAGAGTCTAAGTTAGTGTTAGTGTCTAGTGAAGTTAGTGTCAACTAACTTCATTCTCACTTTGAGAGCATGAAATTTTCCCTGTTTGGACCACTGCTAGAGGGTAATTAAAAGTATAATATGCTACCTACAGGATGTTTCAATATTCTTTGTAGTATTTGGAGCTTGTCAGGAAATGTCATATCCGTAATACACCGTATCTCGAAATTCGCGATTGACAGATGGGCCGTCATTTTTTAGTCCTCCATTAATATTAAATATAATTATTGCTTTTCAAATAATAATAATACTAAATTATACTATTGCTATTTTTAATGGGTATTGATGTAATATTATTCCAATTTTGTCATTAGAATGGTTTTCCTTTGGATGTTGTTTGTGTTTGGTGACGCTGGCTACTTTCTCCAAAGAACAAGGAATAACTGTGATTGGATTATGCTGTGTATACGATTTTATCATCTTACACAAGGTTAGTAAAATTTGAATATTCAAGTTTCAAAAATGCCAGAATCTTTGACATATTCTTCTTCTCAAATAAATCTGAATTATTATTCAAATTATTCTTAAGTGCTTCTTGTGGAACTTTCTTTCTAACCATAACTGTCTGTCTTTTTTCTCCCCTATGCCCTCTCGTCATGCAGGCATCAGTAGGGTAGATTTGTTTGCCATTGTTTCAGGAGCACCATATTAGGTGAGCCAACAATGCTCCCACGGTAAGGACAGATAGTACAGAGAATGAAAGAGCATCCATGCTTTGTCCGGAATTCGAACTCAGGACCTTTCTGATGTGAGGTCAGCTCCCTGACTGACTGTTCACAGTCAAAAATGCATATTTTAAAAGTCTAATTAATTCGTGTCAACTGCTAATTGAGTTATAAAATTGATTATTGAGGAAGAAACACCTATTTTCAAAGTATGGACGGTAGTCAGCTAAAACTTTTAAATTTCATCAATTGTTGGACTCAGATGGGCCGATGTAATAACGAATCACACTTTTTCAAAAAGTAAAACTTCTACATCAAACTATAACTTAATATTGCTTCCAGATATGTATTTTACAAGCATAAAAATTTTTCACTAGATGACAGCACAATACACAATAATATATTATGTTATGGTATCATGGCATTTTTCATCAAAAGCCCACTCCTGAATAATTTGAAAAACGAGCTATTGCTTGACACTTTAATTCATTCGTGCAAATTTTCTACTACTTTCAAATCGTGTGCAAATATTTTGAGGATAATTAAATAACAGCAACTCCATAATTTTTTTTAGAAAAAATAGAATTTTTGCAGAAAAAAGTAATTAGTAATAACTTAATATAGGAACTAAAAATTAAAATACAATGTTCATAAAAATAGAAAACAAATGTTATATTCTGTAATCTGTACATTTAAACGTCTATTCTCTAACAAGCGTTTTTAATGGAATAATATTTCTATGAATGGTTTTAATGTATTTAATTCAAAAAAATTTTTTTGTTTGTCATTCGAAGCAACGAAGTTCGATTTTCAATGAAGTCATTAAAAACTTGAAAAAAGACAGGAGATACAAAATATAAAAAAACATAAAAAGATACATTTAAAAAAATAAATGTAAAAAAAATAAATCATAGAAATAAATATAAAAAAATAAATATAAAAAATAAATATAAATAAATAAATATAAAAATAAATATAAATAAATAAATATAAAAATAAATATAAAATAAAATTAAAATAAGATAAATGAAATATTATATTTCTCCTTTCTTTATCATCGGCTTTGAATTACCTATCCTTTTTACAGATTTACGGCTATCGAAGTTCAAAGCCGTAGCCTTATACTTTTACACCCAATCAAGAAGAAAAAGGATTTCTTGGATCAAGCATCAGGACAAACCTTCTTCAGGACTTTTTGATGTTATTAACCATCATTTGCGTTAAATGAAGAGAAAAGCCACGTATTAGTTAATCTCTATCAGTAAACATATCAGTCTTGACCAGTATCCGTCTAATACTGGAAATATTTTTTATCAGCATTGTGTTAAGTACGATCCCGGAGAATTAAACAAATTGACCAGCTGTCGTCAAAATCCCTAACTGGTTTTTATGTAACAGTTTAAAAATTTTCCATTTTAACAAATAACAAAAGTACGATGTCTTTTGCTTTAATCAGAAAAATTTATTTCATGTTATAGTGGAGAAGATATTTGGACTGAAGCGTGTGATTAATAGGATGCAATTTTGATTAAGTAATAGTAAATTTTTAAAATATATATTTTTACAATTAAGTACATTTCATAATATATATTTTTCCTTTTTTTGCTAACTAACAGAAAAGTTCTGCTAATGAAACAGTTTGCTAAATCGAATAAAAATGCATACTTTTTTTTAAGCAAACGTAAAATAAAATCATCATTACGCTTTAAAAAAAAAAAGAACAAATTACGTATGCTATTTCTTTCAAAACATTTTTGAGAAATAAATTACAAAGAGCGCATATCTTAAACAGAATGGCTTTTCTGATATTGGAGTACAAAAAGAATATTAAATTGCTAAACATATCAGCGTTTTAAAACATTCCCTCATTTTGTATTAGTTGAATATAATAGTCTAGACTTAATTAAATTCCTCACCAAATTTTACTCTTTAAAACTGAGAAAACGTCATTAACTTTTGCTCGCCTAAGTTGAGGAACACGCATCCTAACTTAATACGTTATTGGACAAAGAAAATAAATTTTCTCACGGATAGTTTTATAACACGATTCCATTTTATTTTCTCTTCAATCACGCCAACGAGTTCTCTTTATTACATTAACTTAACAGCTCTGAGTAAAAGCCACGTTATTAAAGGAAACTCACACATTACTATTTTATTTTAAACAGGTAAGATTGCCTGACATTGGACATCTAATGTCCGGGAAAGGACAGTTAAAGGAAGTTTGGCGCCGAACTGGATTCTTGGCGACCTGGGCATTGTTCCTGTTGGTCATCCGGCTGAAAGTGATGGGAGTACAATTGCCCGTATTCACTAAGTGAGTGTTTAACTTGTAAGTTTATGTAGGTTAGTGTTATATTGATTTAAAGAGAGGCGAATAGGGTAGAAGAATTTTATGTGTGAATAATTAGCTTGGTCTTCGACATAAAATTTATTCGCTCAATATGTTACAGAATCTTAATAATTTTAAACTATTTGTTGGCTTGTAAAAGTAGGGCTAAAAGTAAACAGAAATTTTTTTTGTATACCATGAAAATGTTTTGAATCAAAAGTTTGGCGTCGACATAAATTTATTCGTTCAATATGCAAACAAGGTCTGGATAATTTTAAACTACAGTACAGAACCCGTTATCCGGAATACCAAAAAACCGGAACGAAATTCGATAAATTTTTCCGCCATTTTAAAAAAAAAAATTTTTTTTTCCTCATAAGATTTCAGGATTTTTCTTTCTTTTTTGAAAGATGTTTACCTTACCATCATTTTGGAAATAAACATTAGTGTAATACTTCATCGTTTTTTCTTATTTTTAAGATTATTTCCAAATAAATTTTTTTTTTTAGTTGGGTTTAACAATGAAAAAAACGGCTTTTTGTAGCGATTGAGAAAACCGGAAAAATCAGTTATCCGGAATAGCGATGGTCCCGATTGTTCCGAATAATCGGTTCCCTACTTATTTAATAACTAGTCTTAAACAATCGGGCCAAAAGTCGACATAAATTTATCTTATACATTTTCAAAATATTTTGAAATTTTATTTGGAGTAAATAATTTGTTCATGAAAAAGATGTTGATCCCACTTTTTAAAAAATAATTTCTAGAACTATACGAACTGTAATATATGCCTAACTACATTTTTTTAATACACAATAATGGAAAGTGAAGAATTAGCGGGCAAAATTGGCAGCTGTGTTAACAGGGGCGGATCTATTTAAGGGCTTTTTGGGCTGCAGCCCAGGGCCCCGTGGATAGAAAGGGCCCCAGTCCCCACTGGAAACAATAGGTGATATTTCGAATTACAAAAAATATCTAATATTAAAAATATCTATATATATATTATAAGGTTGGCAACCCTGAGATCAATCAACCCATGCATGTGCTCGTCTATCGAACGGAACGGGGAATTACTTGTCGCTTGTTTTTGGTCAGTGTATTTTTTCGCGTCTATTATGGGGGACGACGTCAAAGTGACAAACTTGTTTAGTTTACTAATAACTGTCTTGACTACCAGAAACCCTCTGATCCCACTGAAAACTATATTGGTATTCAGCAAGAGGACAGTAATACCGAGGCGGAAAGAAATTTAGAGAATTTTAAGTTTGAGTTTGAGAAATATTTTGACGTGGGCTTGTGGTTACTAAATAATGATGGGACGTCATTATTTAGGGAATTACTAAATAATGATTTTACGTTATTTAGTAAAATCATTATTTAGTACGGGGGACGTGGGAATTACTAAATAATGATTTTATTAATGACATACTCTCACATGAAATGACTGACTTTCATAATAAAAAACCGAAAAATATATATTCAGCTTCAATAAAGAAATACAAAGAACAAAACAGAAAAATTTTCAAACAGGTATTTCATTAAGAAAATGAAAAATGGTCAATCACTGGAAAGATCTTGGTTATGTTATTCAACCAGGGTTGGTAGTGTTTTTTGTTTGACTTGCAAACTTTTTTCTAAAATTCCTTCTCAATACACAACCGGATTTTCTGATTGGAAAAAAACATAGGAACTTGTTTAGAAAATCATGAAAATTCTAATGAACATAAGAAATCAATAGTGTGGTTGACACGTGAAAGCAACAAGTTATTTGTGAAGGCAACAAGTAAATTATATCATTAAAAGACTTCGTGAACAACATAAGGTACCAATCAGATCGGAAGCTAAAGGAATACGAAGAGAAAGCTAAAAAATTAAGTACTAGTGTGGGAATAGACTACAATGACATAAACAAGAGACGCATTACTCCAAAATTTTCAGATAAGTCTACAGATAAATTCTCAGTATACGGCGCAGAAAAATTTGAAAGAGACGCGCTAAACGTTGTGCTGGATAAGCTGATAATGGATTTAAATAAAAGGAGCCAAGTCTATGAGATGTATAGAAAGAAATTCAAATTTTTAATGGATTTCCAAGACAAAAATATGGAAAGCATAGATCTGTAAAGTGTACGTAATATTGTTGATTATTATCCAGATGACGTAGACGAGCATTTAGTGCATTCAGTTAAAATCTTATTTACTTCAGTCTAAGCCAGAGTCTTACACCTCTTGTAATGAAATTTTTATGCAAATTTATGAAAAGAAATTAGTTGAAGATTTCCCAAATTACTACTTTGCTACACTATCTTAAAGATTTTTTTAAATTTGCCAATCACTAGCTGTGAAGCTGAGCGCTCTTTCTCCAGGATGTCATATATAGAAAACAAATATAGGACAACAATGTCGAACCATCGACTAAATCATTTATCAGTTCTTTCCATAAATTGTGATTTAACGAAGGACTTACAATGTGATGAGCAAATAAAGGAATTTGTAGCACCAAAATGCAGAAAGGTTGCTTTATAATTTATATAACATAACTACACATAACCTGTCAATTTCTTTTGCAATAATGTTGTACAGTTAATGTTTGTATAGACAAATGAAAATAAGAAAAATAAATGAAATTATTTTATTGTCCTATTTTTTTATATATACTTATCTACATCACTATAGAAAACAGTTTTTTGACAAAATGGCTATTAGGAGAGCCCCAAAGTAGTTCCAGCCCAGGGCCCCACAAATTCACGATCCGCCCATGTGTGTTAACAAGTATAGTGTTTAAATTTTCTTCCAAGTAGTTTGTGAAAACTTTCACTTCGTTATGCACAAACTATCCTATAACACTTCGTGGCGTAACTACCACTATAAATATTAAATACCAAATCACTAGTATATAAGACATGTTAAGAAATTGTCTTGAGGTTTCCATTTGATTGACAAAGGTTGACAGAGTCGATAATAAATCCCCTCAACTCTTTCCAAAAATAGCGAAGCTTTTTTTATATATATTATAGATAGATTTTTAACCTTAAATGATGTTGTTATGAGAGATAAAGAATAGTGTTGCAGTAACTCGCTTTGCACCGATTACCTCAGGATAAGACCTTTAAAATTTTAGCAAAATTATCATAAATTATGGAAGATTTAGACTTCACATACATATCAGTCATTTAAATATTTAGCTAAAAAGCGTTATAGTTAGCAGCCTTTTTATTGTACTTGGATATTTATAATTTAAGCGATAAACAAAAATAAAGGTAGATAAACTAATTCAAATTTGCTTTTTAAAGTATAAGTTATAGTTCGTTCACCACGAGTCCACCTCCTCGGACGCAGAGTTCATTTCAGTGCGGGAGTAAGAAGAGAAACATCTCTGCGCTTGAAAATGAGACAACCCTTATTGCAAACAGTGAATTCTTTTACTTCGCTTTATCATCTGCTATTATACTGTTCGTTACTCTACCTAATTAAATATATTTTAAAACTGCTATTTTCCAGCAAAATGTCTCAAATAGGGCAAACTATTCACCGAAAAGAGAGAAATATCATCAAATTTATGAAATATTTAATGTTAAAAAAATACACAGGAAGATTTCGAAATAAATATTTTTGTCATACGATCGAGGTTGAACAATGTTGCTATTTGGTAATAGCAACTTTGTTCAGGTTGTTCACATCCTTCTCCCAAAAATAGCGAAATAGTATCGTCGGACACCAAGTGATGAAGCCGGAGCAAAGTGCCAACTCCTGGTGAACGAACTATATTTACTCTCTTCAGCCGTTATGGTAAGTTCAACATTGCCCATCACTACTTGGATCGGGGTTCGTCCCGATTCATTAGTACCCCATGCTAAACACGAGATGTCTAATCGAGCTGCACTTTCTTTAATCGTGTCTTAAGTAGTTCAGGATTCAATCACAACCTAAACTAAAATGTAGACGATGTACACGATTGTGCACAATGCGCTGGTTCATTGAATACTAGAAGTTTAACAAACAATACTTTATTTAACAATTGTATATAATCAAACCAAAATCATTGCACTATTGCAATGGTAGCCACGACTGGCTCAAACAAGAGTTCAAGAGCAACTGACTAGTTCGAAACAATTACAACAGATGGCGCTTCGCTTAAGACCAAACAGACGACACGTTATTTTAAATGTATTATTTTAAATTATTGAAATTAATTTTATTTCCAGTTAAGTCGTTTATAGCATAGATTTGTAAAACTCTGAAAAAGGAAGGAAAAAAAATTGGGAAAAAAATAGTCTTTTGTAGAACTTTTCCTCCCATGCAATTATTAAAAAAAAAACACTTTAGATTTATCTTTTAGAAACACGAGCTCTAAGCTCTTGTTAGAATCAAATGACAAATTAGATCGAAAAGAAATTAACTTTGACTCTCGTTTTTCAAAAATGAAAAATGATAACGGGAAAAGAAATTAAAAGTCAAGAAAGTGGAAAATGAATCTTGTTAATTAATTTCCACGAAAAATCAAATTAGTATTTTAAATTCAGACATCTACAATTTTATTTATAATTAAAGAGCTTAAATTAGTTTAAGGTTAATGAATGTAGAAAAACATCATTTCTAGTATTTTTATGCTAACGTTTCTAGATTTCGTAAAAATAAGTATTAAATAAAGATTTCAACAGTCTCAAAATTTACGCTGGATTTGAGTTAAATAGAAAATTAATTAATTTAGTGTTTATAACCGAAAAAAAAATAGTTTGGTAGCTGATAGTTTAGAGTTAGTAACAGTACACTAGAGACCAATACATTTTTGTTGGTGAACAATATTTGAAAAGTCCTATTACAGCATAACACATTTCTTGGACGTCCTTTCGATGTTCAGAATTGGGCCCCTAGATCAGTAATTTTTCTCGGCTTCGGAACCTGTACCCGGGTAATGTTATAATCGGCTAAGTGATCTACAATACTGGAATGTGCTTTAGCAATTGAAATTGCTGGTTAGAGGGCTGAAGGAACTTGCTTGCTTACCGGATCATTCCCGACAAAAAGCGGGTGCTTTACTTCGACTGCTTTGCCTTTGCTAGAATCTTCATAAGGCTGTGGTAACCCAATGGTTAAAGAATCGGTGTCTAGCCTGCATGAGCCGGGTTTCGATCCTTGACTCCGATAAGATCCCTCGAGTACATGCGATACACGTGTTTGTAACATCTGTGCTATTGTGTCCCGTGGTCGGTAGCTGAACAGTTCAAGAGTATAGGGATCAGAAGTAAATTTTCTTTCCCTTTAGATCTATGTCTAAACTTAGGAAGTGGCCTCACGAATGATTGGTGCTGCCATCAATCCGTGGAGTTCTGAGCTAAGACGTACTTTCCCCCTTGTGGTGCTCTTTTGTCAAACGAAAAACGCACTTAATTTGCAGAGGCCAATGTCTGGCAACCTTGGCTTGTCCGAATGTTATCAGAAAGAGATTGTCATAAAATTGGAATTTTTGCTAATGTTTTTTACGTTCCATGCAACCCATGAACCATATTCTTCAATGTTAAGCACTTCAGGGCTAAAGATTAGCCGATGGTGTCGCCCTAGAAAACTCCATATTCAATGACTTTGTTAATTTCATATTGTTGTCGATAGTTGCTTTAATTTACCTCTCTGCATTGTATTCTCTTATCTTTTGTATTTCCTTACAATTGAAAATAATTATTAAAAAAACTAGCAGGTTCTTACATTAAGACCTTTGATTGCGTTAGAGAAACAGCATAGTGCTTAAATATAAGTTTCGATTTTTCAGTGTAGTTCTTTCAAATAAATTATTAAGGTCTGTATGGTTTATTAAGGTTCATTTGTCGTAGTGTAGCTTTGGAATATTTTCTTATTATCCTCTTTTTAGAATATCTGAGATTTTTTTTTCAAAAAAATTAAAATTGATTTTTCCTGAAAACTAAACATTCTTTTAAGCCAAAATATGTATTTAAATTTAAAAAACTATCTTTAAATCGAAAATCTTTCTTATGTTTAATTAAAGGTGCTTACAGAGAAAAATATTCACGCAATTTAAATGTAAACGTACTACTTACTGTATGCATCAACTGCAACGTACTACATTGTGGGTGATGATTTAAAAATCTTAAAATAATAACTTTTTTTTAAACTACAATAAAAGTTTTATTTCAGATTTGACAACCCGGCAGCAGCTTCAGAGACACCCACAAGACAACTGACTTTTAATTATTTGGTGGCTCTTAACGGATGGCTACTCCTTAATCCCAACGACCTTTGCTGTGACTGGACAATGGGCAGTGTACCTCTCCTCAGATCGTGGATAGATCCCCGAAATGCTGCGACTCTAGCACTATATGGGATATTAATCGCTGCCTTATGGAACAGCCTATGGGTGGATGACAGTCGTTCCAGAATACTTCTCATGGTAAATTGTTTTGTCATGAAAAATTTAACAAAAAATAATTACTACTTATGCAGGGAGCTACAAAATGGCGAGGTCTAAATAAAAGAGATTATAAGAACAAAAATATATTATATGATTATATTTTATTTTATAACCGTCGTTAGCCTAATTTTGGATTTACGATTACTAATAACAAGCTTAACCCCGTCCCGCCTCCGAAAGGGGGCATCCGGGGACACTCCAAAAGTTCAAAGTGCGCACAACAGTTCAATTACATAAGCAATCATATTTAAAATTTTCAAATTAGAGTTTTAACAAATAGGTAGAATATTAAAAATGAAAACCAGAAAACAGTGCTACTTAGAAATAAACTATATGAAAGCAAACATAACAAAGAAAATAAACAGTAACAATGAGAAGAGATATTGATGCCGCATCTTCAGTAGGGGTGCAAAGTTAATAACAGGAAACATTCACATGGTGAAATATAGGATGCTTGTAACTCAGAATATAATTACAGCTGGCACAAGGTATCAAATTCCAGGAATTTTTTTTAAAAACAAAAAAAGGCATATATGCATACTCTAGGAACACAAGTGATTAAAATTTTCAAAATGAAGAATCATAGGGGCAGAGATTGACAGAAGCATGAAATTAAAGCGCAAAAAACATTTTATGAGAAAATTCAAGTAAAAATCAAATCATAACAGGTAATCAAAAAGCCGTGATTTAAAGTGTATCTTTCCTAACAATAGGCAGCAAGAGGCCATCAGGATTCAGGGAGGTGCCTTGTTACTAAACAATTTTCTTATTATTTCCTCAATTCCCTTTTTTATTTTAGGGTTTAACCAATGCTGCTTTATAAACTCATAGGTTGTTTTTGAATGAAAAAATTTCTCTGTAATGTGCTTTAAATTTGTACAATGGATTAATATATGTTCCCAATCCTCAACAAGCTGAAAGGTACGGCACAGCTGAGCTTCCCCAAAAACCTGGCCTGATGTTGTCCATGACAGCCGTGATTAGTTAGGAATTGATTTAAAAAGAAATTCCCCATGATTTTCCTCGTTTGAACTTTCGGGAGGAGCTCGAATGTGTGCCTTCCCTTTGTAAAGCTGTCACTTCATCTCACCTGCCATTCCATCAATTTTTCGCGTTCCAAAGTTTTTCTAGCAGTCCGCCTGCTAGGATCTTCAAACAAGTTTACGACTACTAATGTTCAACTCCATATCCTTGTAATTTTGAATCTAATTCAGAAAACAAGGGAACTCCTGGATTAAGTATTGGGAGAAATTTGCCCTCGTGAAGGACTTTTTGATGGAACTAACCAACATTTGCGTTACATGGAGAGAAAAACCACGAAAGTCTCCTACGGTTAGCCTCACGGCAAGGGGACTCTAACCTATTATCCGTCTACCACTGAGGATATTTCACGTCAGCATTGTGGTTGGTGCAAGCCGGATGCGGATTCGTATCGACTAGCCATCGCCGGAATTCGAACCCGGTTCACCTCATTGGAAGGCGAATGCTCCGGAGTGTGGAGTTATTACAATTTCACAATTTTTTTATAAGCTAGGAGGCTCTGACCCTGTTTGTTTCTCTCGCCAACCCTCGCGGTTATTTCTCATTCATTATTGAAGATCAAGAGGGAAGAACGGTCAATGCCAGTTTTATACAAAAATTACGATAAGATTTCCGTTTGCTGCATTTTGAAGAGTATTAAATCTAAGCAAACCAATAATATGGAAACAAGTTATTACACAGTGAAGAGGAAGATGGGCCTTTCTGCAGAAAAACAGTTTCTGTCCGTACGCAAATTCGTTTTTTCTCACAATCTTGGACATAAGCCATTCTTTCCCTTAGATCTTCTTCAAAGTTTTTTTTTCCTTGAAACTCGATAAAAAATAATTTTGTTCGTTTATAAAATATAGAATTGTTAGAATTTTATCTCAGCTTATTTTAGTACTATATTAATAGTAACGAAATAAAAGGATAGTTAGATTTGAAAAATAATCAAATGCACTTGGAAAAAAAATTTAATTTAGGAAAGCGAGACACAAAAAGAAATAATAGAACGGAAGTAATTTTATTTGTTATTGTATATATTCTTATATCACATAACAATTCGCACAGAAAACAGTTCTTTTTCCTCTTCAGTCTTTTTTATAATTTCAATATTAATATAAAGATTTATACCTTGCAACATTTAACCTTTCTCTTATTTTTGATTTCATTAAAAATCATATAGTCCGCTTGGTATCACGTAAAATTCCTCTTCAGATCTATATCGATCACGAGAAAAATCTAGAAAAATAAATCTTCCTGCAACAGTGGATAAATAGTTACTATTTAAAGACATAAAAGTGCAAAATAAAACCCATTAGAAATTACAACAATTTTCGAAAAAATAAAACTTTATCGAAAAAAAAAACTCTTGTTAAGTTAAAAATTCAAAATAGTCTCGTCAGTAAGTCAAATTTCAGCTATGTAGTTGCATTTTAGCAAACAGATACATCGACCAAAATGGTGTTTTTTACAAGTTTATAAATAACTTAAGAACTGATTAATGATTATATTTTATTTTTCATTTCAACCCCTTGTACATTTTTCTACACACCTTCGTAATTTAAACTTTCAAAGTATTATAGATTTTGAGCATTTGCTGCAAAGTAAAAAAAAAAAGTGAGAAGAATTCGCAAAAAAACCCACTAAAAACTGCAATAACTTAAGAAAAAATTGGAATTAAAAAAACAAACAAACTAGTGTTAGAGGTTCATAAACAAATATGGCCTTTTCAGTACGCCAAATTCAAACTATGCTGTTGCATTTTTGTGGCCTATAGTGCTCCGGATCGAATATTAATTTTTTTCGAACTAAGAAATACATGGTAATTTTTTGTTTTTCCTAAATGTTCGTCACCCAAATGTGTTCGTCCCTAAGTCTTATAATTTTTTGCGTAGCAAAACAAAATGTTATATTTAGTTGAACACCCGAAACAGCGGCGACGGTGGCCTTTACGATTTTTTAATATAGATCGATATGAATAAAACTATTTTCATGTATCTAAATTTGGTAATAAAATATATTGGATTCATAGATATATATATATGTTGACAAATATTTATTTGACAAAGACATTAATTAAGTTCATGCGTCATATGTGAGATAAAATAGAATTATCCCACATTATCTTTTACTTTTATGAAAAAAGTGGTAGCATGGATGCTACAGGAAACTAAAAATATTAGAAGTAGTAATAGAAACTGAATTCGTTTTTATGTATTTAATTATTCAGTCGTAATTTTAAATGGCTAACATTACAAATTATTCATATTTGAAGCGAAAGCATTATCTTTATTTGCTTTCAATAATAAAGTGAAACAAATATGTTTATAAAAGTTGCTCAAATCACTAGTAATTGATTTTTGCCTTATATAAGCCACCACTTTTTGCATTTTTGGTCGCCCGTGGCATCTCTTTTCTCATCAAATGGAAACAGATTTAATTCGTTACAATAATTTGAGAGAGGCTTGCTTTCACTATGAGACTCTTTCGAACCTTTGCGTTTTCTAATATATTTCAATATATAAATGAGTCTTAATTCGTAGGAATTGTTAAAATTTACCAATTATTTGATAGAAATATATCCCTTATATGATATACCTAATAAAAAATATTATATATTTATTTTTATCCTGATATTTTGTGTTCAGAATATCCCATTTTTGACAAATAAAATTGCGCATTTTAAAATAATTAATTTTAGTATTTCAACTCAGATCCAATAATAAACAATTGTATTATTTATATATTATGGCAGTCAGAGCTATCTCATTTCTGTAAAATAGATCCTCAAAATAAAACTCTTGTGTGACTATTTTTTTTCTTTTTGAGACTATTATATTTAATAGATGCAAGGCTCAAAAGAATTAAACAACGTCATTAATGTCGAAGTTTTTTTTAGATGAACAACCCGAGCATTAAAACTACACTTTTAATCGATGAAACTCAACCCCTGATTAACAATTAAGGGTTAATGTCTTGTATGAACAAGAAGGTAGCTTAGTTGCTGACAGGGTTCTAGCTTAGTGTATAATCTGTCAAATTTTCCCTTCTCACGGAATCACATCGTTGAAAGATTTAAATTAATGAACCAGACTTTAATGAACCATGACCGGATGTTGAAAACTTTAATCGGGCAATGATGATATATAACACGCGTCCTATGTGCTCACCGGATATCATCTACGTACTAGAGTAGACAAAATTAATGGTAGGAAAAGTGATTAAAATTCATAGGTCAATTCCAGGTTTTCTTGGTTATGCACTTATTCATTAATTTTATACTTCATGAGGAAGTTAATGCTAAAATATGAGAGGGTAGTTTCAAATGAAAGCACTCCACGACTGTTATTTATTTTGGTATTCACGTAAGCATTCACGCTTGCTTCAGTTTGGTTTTATTGCTGCAATTTAGAAAGATTTAAGTAGTTCTATTTATGAAAAGGAAACTTCCGTTAGAATATTATAAAATTCATTTTGAAGAAAAATGTGCTTTTAATTAGTTATTTTATGTATTAAGAAAGTTTTGTTGAATGTTTTGATGTTTTTATTGCTGCTAAAGATGAAGGTTTAAATACTTAGAGATTAATGACAAGATTTGAACTTTATTTATTGTATGTTATTTATTGCATATCATTATGAATCGAATAGAGCCTATTGCAAGTAGTTCACTTTTGCTTAGTACTGAATTGTAAGAGGGTTTACGTGGGTTTAAAATTTTTAAAACAGTGACGAACAAGAGACAAATATTGATATATCAATACATTCGTGATTTCCACAATATACTACTTAGCAGAAAGATTTTATCTGAGTTAGAAATCTGCACATTCCCCCATTATATGTTTCGAAAAATCCGATGAATCAGTTAACACGTTGAACGCCACGCTAATTTTACATAACTTAGCCGTCAGGCCACACGATAAATAATTACAAACTAAATTTGCAAATATAGACAGATC